TAATAAAAAATTCGTGGACATTTTACAAAATATGAAATAGATACTAAACCAAATTCGGGACTTCCAGTTCCTCATATTCTAGTGGTAGACTACTTATTGAAAATTTTATGTTTCTAGGTCACGTTGTTTTTTCGTAGCGCTAGAAACATGCATACTTTCATGTAGATTCTTCATTATTTAATTTCTTTAAGTATAATGCGCGATTGTAATTTTTGGTGGCAACAATTTGAAAAGTGAACCGACATTTATGGTGAACCAAGGCAAAATACTAAAACGAAATTAGTAGCTTTTCTGGGCAAACGACCTTTGGGCTAATAATCTACATCTAAGAGATAATAATTCATAGATTTTTCACTAATTGTTTTGGCAAAAGTTTCAATTTACAAAGAAAGAAAAATCAATTATTTCAGAGGATAAATTTCAGGACATCTACTTAATAATTGCAATCAGTAGAGAAATAGTAGAGACCTAATGCGAATTTTTACTAAACCCCTAGAGTATTCACTAAGAAAAGAAATAATTATTATCTTACTAATTCACATATTTGTTCTAAAATTATGGTATAATGTCTAAATCTCAATGATTCCCACTAAATATATAAATTAATAATGCTGACTACTCAAAATTCTAAAATAATTGCACCTTGAAAATTAAGGAAAAACGTAAACATGGGGCTTTAGCGTTAAAAGAAAGAGTTTTGTTTAATTAATACTTTGAAAGCCCTTTGGCGGTTTTCATTGCAGATTAAATCTCGGCTGTGTCTGACTCTTGTAATTTTATAAAATTTAACTTCTTTTCTATGCAAATTTAAACTACTGCTATACTCTGCCTGTATGCAGAGAGAGTAATATCTTGAATTTAGTAGTGTAGTAGTATTGACTTGAGTTCAAAGATTAACTCTAGAGATCGACTGAGTCGGGAACTGTACGTAAGTGTTTTGCCTTGAAGCTGTCTTCATCATAACAGCCTGAAGGCTGTTGCTGATCATTTCAATGTGTTTATTGTAGTTTTTCGATGACTGTAAACATGTCTTTGGAATCCTCCTGTGTAATATTGGCAAATAAATTGCGTTTTGATTCCTCATCAATTACTCCAAATCCACGAACCCGTAGAACGCAACAATATAATGCATACAGGCAGAATTAAAATGCCTTTCAGGTATGTGTTGTGTGAGCTGTAAGGATTTTCGATTTTTGCCTTAACAGTTGACAAAATATAAAAAATTACATATTATAAATCAATATATACAAACTATTTTTAAGTAAAAGAAAGACTGAGGGTATCTGTTAAAAATTGTCGAAAAGTTGTTTCTGTTAGTCGTGTTGTATTTAACTCTGATATGTGTTTCATTGCATTTGAAAGCCTGATTGCCTGATTGGTAAATCTTTACGATATTTATTATTTCATAAACTATCACTAAAAAATCCAAAAAAATTCAAAATAAGTTAGAGAAATTATTTAAATTAAACTTTTTTATAAAATTTAACTTAAGCACGTTTTTTAAAGGAAAATTAAACTTTGCAATTTCACTTGATGTATTTAGTAAACTGCTTGAAAATTTGCGAAATGCACACATAGGTGTGTATATTATACGATAACCTACATATCATATAATCTATCAATAGATCGAAATCGATACTTCAAGTTATATTATAATATTCAGTTAGCCATGGCCAACATGAGATAGATCTATGCGCATGTGAGCGTAATGTTTAAGTAGCAGTTAGTCTCCAATGGACAATGCATGTGAGTTGAATGCTATAGCCTGTTTTGTCTGGCGTAATGTTTAAGTAGCAAGTAGTCTAGAAGTGACTGTGAGTGCCATAGCCTGTTTGATCATGATAAAAAATACAGTCTGGTCATAGGCTAAAAAGAGGTACTAAATTTTGGATTATCTTTTGCGAGTTTGCGGTCCTATGCATTGTAGTTATACAGCCAGTCTGGACAATCAGTAAGAAGTTACTAATGAACTGTGGCTCTTTTCCTTAGTTGTTGTGGCATATTTCAAAAGGTTTCTGTAGGCATGTGGACCGCTTTGAAAGGCATACCATGAAATTTCACTTGTGGTAGAAAGTGATCCCGCATGATATCTACAAACAGGTCCTAGTCAAAAGCACTGTCATTGCCTTGCTTTCTACTGTCCAGAAGGCAATGCATTGTCACGCTATGCACACTGTAGCGTTACATTTAAGTTTCACTGAAAAATTTAAATTAGCATATTTCCTATTGCTTCATTTTGTACAGGCTTGTTCAGCGATTATGCAGATTTGAGGGGCAAAGAGTTTATCATGAAGTTAGAGGATAGATTGTAATCGCATGGGAGTTTTGAGTAATGTAGGCTGTCTGCCCGTCCAACTTGTTACTAAAAACGTAACTAAATGAAGTTACATAGCAGTTACTGAATGAGAATATATATTGTTATAAAATTTGTAAACAGTAAACATATTACAATAACTGTCTACTTCACGTGCTGCTATATATCTTTAATTTTATGTGAGTATTAATTAGTAATACCAGTTAGTTAATTATTCAGTTATTAATTAATTATATAATGTATGACAACAAATTAACTGTATGACACACGCTTGGAGAAAGTTGCGTCTTTTAATTAGGGTTTTTCTCTTAGATTTTGAAAGAAATGCCTTAATATTATGGCTTTAAATTTTAAACCTAAAGAAACCAAAAAATGGGTAAATACAATTTTTTTATTAAGTGATTTATTTAATTTTCTAGCTGAAACAAACCGGGAGTTGTAAAAAAACGCATAACTCTTACAATGCTTGCGAAGTGTCTCTGTCTCGCCTAAGATTAAAAGCACGATTGTTTAACAGCCTAAGGTTTTGAAGGGCTGTTACCTGTCGATCTATGACATTGTATCCCCTCTTAGAAACAATTAGATATTGTAATTATACGATATTTAAAGGACAGTTTTACGCTCAATACGAGATTAAGGTGAATGGTAACTTTCCTTTGTAATATTTTTATTTTAACCCTCACAGGTACTGAAACAAAAGAAATTTAATTTGAATAATATTGTTTTCTATTTCTTTCAGAAATGTGTTTAGTCTAGCAGGATATAAGCTAACGATGCTTATTTAGATATCAGTGCAGGATGGATACAGTAACATTTAATACCTCATGATTGAGATTTAATTATTTTTTTCCAAGTCGACATTGTATAAGGAAATACCGTATTCTCCCATGCGAGTTATTCGCATATTTTTAGAGCAGTTTTGTTAGCAAATTTTATTTTCGTGCTAGACAGAAATGAAAGATTTGCTACGAAGCATTCAGCTATTCCAATACTATAAAATATCATTCTTTAAATTCTCTAAGATTTTTTTAATACAACTTTCATCCGGATTTAATACATTAAAATTCCATGTACTAATTAATATACAAACTGAAGGTTTCTTTTGCATCATCTTCCTCTGAAACTGAACGTAAATTTTCTTTACCCGTATGATGTAAGAGGTATTATCTGAATAATGATAATCTATAAATAAATAACAGAAACAATTCAAAAGACATTTTATCATTTTATTGTATAGTGCAGCATTGTAAGAGTTATGCGTTTTTTTACAACTCCCGGTTGTTTCAGCTAGAAAATTAAATAAATCACTTAATAAAAAAATTGTATTTACCCATTTATTGGTTTCTTTAGGTTTAAAATTTAAAGCCATAATATTAAGGCATTTCTTTCAAAATCTAAGAGAAAAACCATAATTAAAAGACGCAACTTTCTCCAAGCGTGTGTCATACAGTTAATTTGTTGTCATACATTATATAATTAATTAATAACTGAATAATTAACTAATTGGTATTACTAATTAATACTCACATAAAATTAAAGATATATAGCAGCACGTGAAGTAGACAGTTATTGTAATATGTTTACTGTTTACAAATTTTATAACAATATATTCTCATTCAGTAACTGCTATGTAACTTCATTTAGTTACGTTTTTACTTCCTAATCTTAAGTTTCATTTATCTTCTACAAATTTGTCGCTACTAATTTTGATAACGATGCGACTTTCAATTTATTCCCTATAACTTTTGTTTCAATTTCAATCAATATCTATTTTTAATAACAATAAGAAAACCGTGAAAATGAACAATTTTTATTTAATTCTCAGCCTTCTCAGCAAGCGCGATGGAAAATGAGTGCAACTAGTATTATTCATAACAGCAATTTCATTAATCTTTCATTTCCGTAGCAAGTTTAACATCTGAGAATAATCAACAAGTTTCAACTGAAAAGCTCAGTGAGGTCGTTGCCAGCAATTGGATATAATGTTATCGCTTGTGTAGTACGTGATTAATAGCAAAACTCAGGTTTGTTGTAATTAGTGTCCCAGAGTGTACAGACAATACTCGCCTAAGCGGGACATTAATAATGGCTAAGACTGGGATGTCGGTGCGCGAAGCAATTTCGAATCTTCGTCGTCGTAGAAGTAATAAATGGGAGCCTAACTCCAAAGATTGCTATATCTGAAATTAGAAATAAGAAAGCCAATGCATCAGCATTGCTTGTCTGCCTTTTGCTAAACTTTATTTCATTCACTACTTAGATTTTATACAGGAGAATCACGAACGCGCAGTTTTCTTTCTTTCTTTTTTTTTTTTTTTTTTTTTTTTTTTTTTTTTTTTTTACTATTTATCCGAATGTAGAAAATGTTATTACATCTGCTAAGAAAATTAATATTTCATTTGAAGGACATAAGGTTTAATTTGCGTTATTTGCTTATTGCAATGCATACAGCAGTTTAGGCAGATATTGCAGTATATTCGCACAGTATACTGTATTTTAGGCAAGTATGATCTTCAGCCCGTGTCCGCTCCGGTACTTCTTAGATTTTGGGTGACATTGTGAAACGATTCCAGTAACATGAGTTTCGGTATTTTAATACATTATTTAATCATTTGCCATTAATTACTTATTTTGTCATATTTTGATTAATTTTAATCACTAATTTTTATCATTTTATTCTTTATAGCTGCTCACCTTTCCTGACGGTCTTCCATAGAGTTCCTGTGCTCTCAATATTAGAAATAAATCCAAAGTTAATGTAATAAGCGTTCTTTATTATTATATTAACTTGGAGCATTGTAAAGCACCAATGACAGCACAAGAGAGAAGAGAGAAGAAACCTTTTATTACACTTATTAAGAATTAATTATTAAGAATGTAAAATGAAAACTCACTTAATAGAACGCCTTATTATTTTCACGTACCTAAACTAGTATGTTTCATAATTAAGTTTTTGAACAGTTCTGAGAACTCTTCAGATATGTATGTTAGAAATTCCTTTCAAATTATTTTATTGGCAGTCAAGATGATGTTTGTTATTTAATACTGTCTGTAATAAGGCTAATGTTTGCATAACACTTCTGTCTCAAAATGCTTAAATCTTGTTCATTTGAACTTTCATCGTCGTAAATAACTAAGACATGAACTGAGTTTCAATAAACACACAAGGATAAAACTAAAACTAAATATATATTTTTGCTACTACTTGTCGTCTTCCTAATTAAAACAAACGTTTTTTTAGGCGGGTGTTTAAGCGATAAAAACAGGGAGTCTTCGCCTATCAGTTCTAGACTCGATTCACTGCCCATCAGCTAACGCTAAACCAAAAGTGGCTTAAAATCTTCCACTAACTTCCACCACTAAAGTGATCCTCCAACTTGTTCTGGGATAGCGCCTCACAGTGAATGCAACAGAACTTGGTTACCACGAAAGATAACAACCTTGGTTCTACTAGCCGTAACTAGTAACGTATTTTAGCGTATGAAAACTTGTAAATTGAACTTACAACATGAAATCTTTTTCAGCATATCACTTGTAGAAACATTCTAAATTTAATAAGGCTACATATTAGTAAATCGCAGAGTCACTGAATGGCATTCAAGCGGAAAAATATAATTCATTTGTAGAATTTCTAATTTATTGTTTAACCAACCCTTCAAGACAAGCTGAAACTGATGTCAGTATCCAAAACTTAGAAATTATACATCTCGGTAAATTTTTGTGGTACAGAGGTCAAAATATTTTTTTTTTTTTTTTTTTTTTTTTTTTTACAGAACTATTAAATTTTACTGACGGCAAGTATAAGAACTCAGAAGCAGGATAAAAATGTAAATTTCTTAATTCTTATAATTTTTTTTTTAATGTAGGTATGCCAAAACATGAATACTTTGATCATTTAAAATATTTTTGTAACTGGAAGTATATGTCTTAAACGCTATAAGAAAATAAAGGCCAGATAAGAGCTTCTTTGGACAAAGTGTGTGAGTATATATTTTTGCTATTTACGTGATCGAACAATTTATTATGAAACGAAGAACAATTATTAGCACACAAAGCATAATAATATCTGGAAATAACTGAAGGAGAACGCGAATATTTAGCAATACATCCTTAACACACGAATTAAATCCTAATTTTGCTCAAATCATTCTCATTGGCAGGAATAAACCTAAACCCGTAATTCAGCTATCGTTAAACTCACTGCTGCACAAATGATTTACAATTGAATTCTCCCTAGCTCTCCTACACATATATATACTCTGCATCATGGGCTCCAGATATTTCTGGAAACATTGGTTGTAGGGCTTCCAAAATGTATTTTTCGAATATTCCCGAAAGTTGCCAGGTAGGCGAGAAATAACTAAATATCGCTATTGCCGACGTTCCTTAGTAACAAAATAAGCATTATCTCGACTTATAATTAAGCTAATTTTACAATTACAACATAAATCCACTGAACTGATATTTAAATAATCTACAATTCTGTGTTTTAAATTAATACTTATGTACAAAACATGTGGCCGCATATTAGATTAAATCCAAAATAAGCTATAAAATTCCCATTGTAAACACACACACACACGCAAACAATAAAACAATAAAAAATATTACAACAATAAAATTATACTCATAAAGGCTTAAAATATTTTCTACAATATATATACAAAGTAAAAAAAATTCAAAACCTAATCCGACTGCGCGCTGAATTTAGCAACAAGTGATGGTAATAATGCAGGAAAAAAATTAAATATCTTAAAAATTCGCTTCAAATCTACACCATATTCAATTGGGAATAAACCATAAGCAATAGACAAAAGAAAAAAAAAAGTATAGTGGCGAACGGCATGATAAACACAGAAAAAGTCAAAAACGAAAAGAAAAAAGAAATTTACATCTTTCGCTGCATTGTCATCAGGGGTGTCCTGAAACGAAAGAAGTAAATACATTAACCTCTTCCAGAACCGAAAACGTAAGGTGTTCAAATGTGCTAACAAGATGAGTCTTGCAGGGAAACTACGAACTGAATTCATAAAGCTGGTTTCATCTGAATAGGGAAAATGGTTGTCGAAGCGATGCCAGTTTTTCTGCCAAATCGTAATTTAATATGAGGCGCATGTTCCGCAAGTATTGTATTTGATTAGTAAAAAAAAAAAAAAAAAAAATTGACAAACTAGATGCACATGTGATAGATCTGGGCGACCATGTGTTCGTGTTGAAACTGTTGAGATTGGTTTATTTAATTGCGCCAAAGCCTCGAGGGCTAACTGCCTAAGGGTGCCTAAGGGTGACTTTCTAAGGGAAACTGGTTCGTATACGCGTTACAGATGGGGAATACCACGAAATCGACCATGCAACCAGACCGTTTCCGGGATTCGATCCTCGGACAGAACTACTAGTCTTCAACACTGTTACCGCTCGGCCCTGATGGGTCTGAAGTTGTTGAGGAAGTGCATAACAGGATTCCTACAGGTCCATTGCATACTGCAAGAAATGTTCGACGAACTTAAGATGTGCCGAAAACTACAGTTCTGATGCTTCTGCGTTCTGTTCTGTGGATGTTTTCTTATCGAATCCAGCGCGTCCACATGTTGCAATCTGGAGTTGAGAAAAAGCGTGACACCTTTGGGAATGTTTTCCTGATCAGATATCATTATGGTATCAGGTGGCCGCTGTGAATAGTATTGACGGATGAAGTGTATTTCTCCTTAACTAAGAACGTTAAACACCAAGTACCGCATTCCCTGACTGACGAAAATCTTTACGATATGGCCCCAGCGGGATTACACGAAGCTAAAGTGACTGTGTGGTGTGGCATCCGCAAGCAAATTCATTCTAGATTCGTACTTCTTCTAAGATTCATTTACGCAGGTATGAGAGCGTGCTCCATTACAGGTATACAACAATGGTGCAGAATTATGTAATTCCAGAAATGCGGGAGCGAAGTATAGTTAATGGCATTGTAGGGATGCAAGATGGTTCTCCTCACACATCGCCACGTGTATTCGGAAAGTAATGCAACAAACACTCGAGTAACTTTGCAGCTCGTGGCCACCGCGATCCCCTGACCTCGCTCAGATGGATAGCCTCTAGAATTATCTGAAATATAAGGTACACGTATCAAATTCATGATATTTGTGAGAATTGAAAGATGCCGTAAAGCGTGAAGTTACACAGATTTCTTCTGCAAAATTACGTTCGCCATTGTTGCCAACATTCTCCCGCATGCAATACGGTATCACCTGCGTAGATTGGCACGTTGAAAATTTGTAAGTGTAATAAAAGATTTCTTCTCTCTTCTCTCTTGAGTTGTCATCGGTTCTTTACAATGCTCTCCTTTGCAAATGATTTGCACTGATAATTTCTGTCACACGTTTCTGTCATTTTAAAGCCATTTATGGATTTTCAATGCGGTGATCAGTTCGCGTAGGGAAATGTGGGTGCTTCATTAAGAAAATTTCGAAGTTTTTTCACTGTAAGCTAAGTATAAGAGTTCTGTTGTTTTAATTAATTACAATCTTGAGCACATACCTTGAAATAACAATATCTGAAATTTCAGAAACGGATAGGCCGTAGAGGATTATAGTACATCGGGGGAATTTTTTATGACTATATATGGAAAATTAAGAGTCAAATATTCAGAGTCGAACATGTAAGCGTAAACGTATAAGTATGGGGAGTTGTGATTGTGGAAAAGATATAAGCGCACTAGTGGTTTTCGGCGATTTGTGTGCCCATACTCCTTCATGACATTTTTCGTAAATAATCGCATAATTTTGACATATTTCACTACATACATTTTAAAAATAAAAGCAGTTAATGTTGTAGATCTGATTTGTGTTAACAGTCTTAATCATGTGCTGATTATTGATGATAATCCCCCCCCTTGCGAAGATGTTCAGAGAGATATAGTCTGTTTATATTTCCTTTTTCTTTATTATTTACACTACATTTTTGGCTTTTAATTACTTTGCATTTATTATTTGCCCTTTTTCTGCAATTTTCTGTATTAATCGCAATGCAGTTTTTATTTATTCACAGTGTTTCTTCCTTAAGCAAACAAATTTTATACATTTTATAATAGCTTCGTAAAGACTGAATATTTGATGAATTTTTTTAAATATTTTTCAGTACTATCACCTTTTGTTGCAGTTTTCATCTTTAGCACATAATTGGCTTATTTTATGATTTTTTTCCTTTATATTGTTTTTCAATATAAATATAGCTTAAATTTAGACCAGTTAGAATTACAAATGAGGATAGGTAATACTGCTTTAAACTAATGTCACAGAAATCATCAGATGAATGTCTGTGTCTAATTATTAAGCAAAGAAAATGAATCGTAAAATGTGAAATGCAGAGGCGAAGTACCTGAAAAGTCCATTTGATAATATAAGTTTTATGTTATGCGCTGTCTAACTAAGGCTAATACAGCGCTTTTTTAATATAATGTACAATCACGTTTCCAGTTTTGACGTTTCCTTGAAGCTTTGGCAATTTTTTAGGAGACCGAGAAATCTAAACCATTCAGTTTATAAATCTAATATATGGTCAAAGGCTAAAGATTTCAACAGTATGTGTCTAACGAGGAACTTTTATATATATATAAACATACATTCTTGTGCAAAATTAAGAGAATCTGCACATTATGTCGAATTTTTGAAAAACCAATGGAAAGATTTTATTGAAATTACACTTATAACACAAAAACTGATATACAAATCAAAAATCATTTTATTTACATAGGAATATCAATAAATCTGATAGTGTACGGATGTTCAAAATACTACACACTGTGTTATCGAAATGAAAATGAGTTTAATATGGGATATGGCTCCGCCTTACAGCCTTATCCCCGTGTTACCCAGATCGCCCAGTGTGACGTCATAGCGCATAGGAGGAAGTTGAATAGCACTCGTGGTAGTCGATCCCCTTCCAGCAGCAAGGCGATTTTCAACTTCACGATGGTCCTCGGAGAGGGCACCAGGAATTAAATTGCCCTCCTAAGAGCATCCCAGACATACTCGATAGGTTTAATGTCAGGAGATCTGACCGGCCAATTCATGCGGCTATCCTCTCTTTCCAGGTAATCGTCAACAAGCTGAGTCGTATGTGGACGAGATTCCTCCATTAACAGGATCACAAAACGAATTGCGTCCCAGAAATGTTGAACATAGGACGATCTCCCTTTTATAGATTCAAGACAAGAATCCTTTGTGAAAGACATGCAGGGGTGTGGAGCTTTCCAATGGAATTCCTGCACAATCCATTAAACCACCGTGAATAACTGTTACGCTAATGAGAGAGGGATGGTTTTCGCGTTCCAGGTTGTTCCAGATACCGGTAAGCCGATAATCAGTTACTATGTTACTACAAAGCCAAAGCCCTCAGCTTCCCTGGCTGGCCTCTAAAAGCTATGTGATTCAACCACATAGCTTTTAGAGGCCAGCCTGGTAAAACTAAAACGAACTAAAAAATATAATAAACAGTTGAACGCTTAATAAAACGACAGATAAAGAAAAGAAAATACATACACATCATTCACACATCTCTTCCAGCGATATATCTCTGTGCATTGATAATATTCATTATTTCCCTGGAATAAAGCAGCATTTTATTATAATCCTTAAGATCTCTTGGAAATTCGATTTTCATTTTATCTCTAATACTAGCAGTCAGGCCACAGGTTTCAACGAAGTGAACATTATCACCTCTTACTCTACATAGCCAATAAAGATTGCTTTCCTGCAAGGCAAATCTATTCAGGTATATGGGAAAACGTCCATGTCCCGTTCGCTGCCTTGTATGCTGCTGTAGTGAGCAGGACTCAAACATTGGATCTTTTGACATAGAGTCCTGTGTCACGAATCCTTTGACGAACTGTAGACAGTGAAACGTGAGTCAAAGTAACAGCATACAGCTCACGTGAGATCTGTGAAACTG